CATAGAAATACGAGAAGTACATGATTAGCGCAAGGGAATATTTCTTTCTTTCATTATGGGCCGGCGTGATTCGCTGGCACCGCACCTGCCACGCAAAAGCATTTACTTAGACCTTGTCCCTCATACGCCTCGCGAGGGAGATCGTGACGTCCTTCCGAGCCATTGTCGTTCCTAAATTCCCCGCCGCCACTCCTATTCTCGTTGTCGTTGCTATCCCTGCTGCTGTCGCTATTCCTTTTCGCTTTCATGTCGTTGCTCCCGATGTCGTCAGTGGTCCTTGTCCCTATCAGGATTGTGGCCCGAGTTCCAGTCTCTGTCCCAGTCCCTGTCCCTGTTTATGTCACTGTCCCTGTCCCTGCCCCTATCCCTATCCCTGTCCGTGTCCGTGTCCGTGTCCGTGTCCGTGTCCCTATCCCTATCCCTGTCCCTGTCCCTGTCCTTGTCCCTATCCCTGTCCCTGTCCCTGTCCTTGTCCCTGTCCCTGTCCCTGTCCCTGTCCCTGTCCCTGTCCCTGTCCCTGTCCCTGTCCCTGCGACATGTCCGTTGTTCGCGTTCTTATTACTGTCGTTGCCGCCTCTGTTGCTGTCCCTGCTAATGTTGTTGCTGTTGACGTGGTCGATCTTGTTTCTTCTGTTGCCGTTGTCTCTGCGCGCATTCCAGTTGTTGCTTGAGCCGTCGTCCTTGTACCTGCATTGCTGTTGTTCATGGTCGTTGGGTATATTTGCTGTTCTGGTTGCCTATCTGAAAGGAAAAAAAAAAGAAGAAAATGATGCCTAAACAACGACAAGTAAAATAATAAATTAGTAGTGCAATGAACTTATGATGATTGCTCCTTATGGTGAATGTAAATCTTGATATGTCTATAATGAGAGCGAATATATGAGATAAACTGACGGTAATGATGGTGATAATGGTAATGGGAACAAGAATGATAATGGTTGTTATGTCATTTGCTGTTTATTAATATTAGTATTGTTATTGTTATTTTCAGTATTGTCATTTTTATAATTATCATCATCATTATTACTATAATTATATTATTATCATTGTCATTATATTATTATTTTATTATTATCATTATTATATATTATTCTTATTATTATCATTATTATTTCATTAGCGTTATTATTACTATCTATCGTTATTTATCATAATTATTTTTATCATTATTGTTATTATCACATTATTATTGCCATTATCATTATCATTATTAGTATTACTAATATCATTATTATTGTAAAGATTTCTGTTATTATTACTATTATCATCATCACCATCATCATCATTATCATTTTTGACATCATTATCATCATTATTATTATTATATTATTATTATTATCATTATTATTATTATTACTATTATTATTATTATTATTATTATTATTATTATTATTATTATCTTTATTATAATTATTATTGGTATTATTATCATTGTTACTATTATTAATTATTATCATTGTCAACTTTGTCATTATTATATCCTTAAAAAATAAATTATTGTTGTTATTGCTATCAATCTTAGCACTTCATCATTGTGAATTATTATCGTTACTAATATACTATTTATCCTTATCATTATTATTATTTTCATTGTTATCATTATTATCGCCATTGTTATTTTTATTATTGTTATTATCATCATCATTATTAGTGTTATCATTATTATTATTATCATCATCATTATTGAATCATCATTATCATTATTGTCATTGTTATGATCATTATTATTATTGTTATGATTAAAAAAAAATATATTATCATCATTATTATCATTATTATTGTTGTTATTAGTATCACTATCATTATGAGCATTACTATTGTTGATATTATAATAAATATCATCATCATCATTATCATTGCTGTCATTACTATTATCATGGTTATCATTACTGCTGTCATTGTTATTATTGTTATTATTAGCATCATTATTTTTATCATTATGATTATCATTATCATCATCATCCTTACTATCATCCGTACGATGAGGATTATTGTTGTTTCTATTATTATCATTATCTTTATTTTCATCATTATTAATGTTCTTATTATCATGATCATTACTACTATTACTATTATTATTATTATCGTTATCATTATTAACCCCATTATTATTAACATTATTATCATTATCATTATAACTGTATCATTATTATTACTATTATGATTATTATTATTGTTAATATTATCATTATTACCCTGGTTGTTATAATTTTTATGATTATTATCATTATGATTATTATTGTAATCATTATCGTCATCATTATCATCTCTTTTGTCTTTAATATTACTAGTTTTGTTGTTATTGTTATCACCATTACTATTATTATCATCATCATTGTCACCGAAATCATGACGATAATATTGAAAATAACAATGGTGAAGCTGAACATAACAAAAAATAACCACACAATATTACATCACAGGAAGAGGAAAATTCTTTCTTCTGTCCCTTTCTTCTCTCTCTCTCTCTCTCTATTTCATCTCTCTCTCTCTATTTCTC